CTACACGAGAGAGAAATCCTCAACGTGACAGTCTCAGGGAAAAAGTTCCAACCTGAAAAATCCCCAAATCTAAATTTCCCAGCCCAAACTCAATGAACTCCTACAACTGCAATACCCATTCCATTGTAATACATTACTCCTCAGAGACCACTAAAATCCTGTACCTTTCTTCTAAAATCAGGCAGAATTAGCTTGTGGCCTGCCGGAAATAACTTGCAGAGGCCGTGATTTATTCCTCTACTGGATATTCATTCAAATAGTGGCATTAAACTTACAAATCAATTATAACGTGTCTGAAAAGAGAAAAGAGGAGCTTCTTAGGCTAAATGTTGAAAAATCTGATGAGAATTTTATAATATGTAAATTAGGTGAATTTTATAGTATGTAAATTATATCACAATAAAGCTGTTTTTTAAAAACCTGACAATATACTGTTTAATCAGTTTCCTCAAAGGGAGTTACAGAAGCCTTATTGTCTGGGCGTGTCTAAATCAACAGGAAGAGCGCTGTTGAGTTTGAGATTTCCGTGTGTACTGTGTGAAGGTAATGCTGAAATGAATGAATTTAGCATCCCATCCTTCATTCACCTGGATGAATGAATTTAGCATCCCATCCTTCATTCACCTGGATGAATGAATTTAGCATCCCATCCTTCATTCACCTGGATGAATGAATTTAGCATCCCATCCTTCATTCACCTGGATGAATGAATTTAGCATCCCATCCTTCATTCACCTGGACGACACAATTAGTCCAGCCCTGGTATGTACTTTCAGCTCATTCTGCGAGTGATCGGTTGGCACTAAGCATCCACATTCACCCCCTTTCCCAGTGGCACCCATCTGTCAGCTCACCGCCAGAATGAGACAGGTACAGCCACGAAACAGAAAAAGGTGACTGGGCCACACAGAGAGCATACTCATGACCCTAAACAAATCTAATTAACCAATTATCGTTTACCCAAATCTGGCTGTGCGATGACCTGACTTAGAAAACGGGTATTTTCAATTTCCACAGTTCTCCAATAATGGAGAGCTATCTTGTATTAATATTTATAACACAAAGTGACCTTGTGTGTTGTGTATTTGACTAAGGAGTTGCCTTGAAAACTTATGAATTCAAAGAAAAGCAAAATGAGGAAGCCCTTCTTTGGGCCTGGAGATGAACACTGGCCCCATGCAAACAGACCTACCACCACGACACAGAAGGTCCAGGGGAAATACGGTGAGACCTCAAAGCTCTGCAGAGTCTCGTAACTCACAAGGGGAGATAAGGACTTTGTCATCTAGGCACAAAGTTGATGGGCAGCGGCAATGGCTTGGTGGGTGGAAGCAGGACCCGCCCCCCAAGCAGGCAAGACGGACAGGCAGTCGTCCTGGGCACCTGCAGCCAGCAGACACCCGAGTTCGAACCCTGACTCTTGAACAACTGAGCACGACCTTGGGAAAGCTGCCGACCTCACAAGACTGTGGGGAGCGTTAGTCGAGCTAGAAAAATGCAGCGCTCTGGTGCCTGGGGTATCTCTTCAGAACAGGCGTCTTTTTATAACAGGCATTTTTTCAGGTCGGTATGAAGAGAGGTAAAGCAGGAAGGGAACTTGTGGAATCGGAAATGGCCGGATCTGCCAGGACTGGACCACATCACGGTCTGGCAGCTGGAGCTCTGGGATCAGAGACTGAGGCACGGTCCTGACCCAGCCCCGGCCCCGTGGGGCACTGAGCAGGCCGCCCAGCTACCCCTGGGCTTCAGTCCACTCATCGGTACAAAAAGAACTCTAGGGACAGCCGGGGCCTCCTTCACAGGCTGCCTGAGGACGGAGTGAGGGCGACACCTAGACCGGGCGCAGCATCTGCGCCAGGAGCCCCGGCAGGGGCCAGCCCGCCCTGCGCCCACACACGCTCCCGAGAGGCGGCTCTACGTACACAGGTCGTGCGGGTCGAAGGGCCGAGGGGGGTCAGGCTCCCAGTCGTCCAGGTCTGTGTCTCCACCGTCCTCCTCCTCCTCCTCCGAGTCCTCTGAGTCCTCCTCGTCCTTGGCCTCCAGTCTGGCCATGGGGCTCTGCAGGGTCGCCAAAGGGTCCGAGCCACCCACACCCTCAAGTGAAGGTAGCACCTGGCTGTGCACCGGCAACGCGCCCTGGACGACATTTAATCGTAACGTTAGTTCAGCCTGTTTGGGGTTAGCTGGGACACACGCAGAACACAAGGTTTTGGCGCAATACTCTTCTCGCCAGCTCCCTTTGAGGCCCTGCAGAAATGACTCATTTCCATCTATGGGCTGTAATAAGGGATCTGTTTTCCTTTTTGCTGTTTCTGCCCAACATCTGGGCACCGCCGGTGCCAGCGGGAGTTTCAGATCCCACAAGCCCCTGACCACGTGCTGGGGACTGTCGTGCTGATCCCAGCTTCACCTCAAGTCCCACTTCCTTGCTCTCTCAGCCTTTCCAAACCTGCATGAGGGGCCTGCCCTGTCTCCCCGGAGACTTCAAATATGAAAGTAACGAACCCTTCCAAACCCTCCTGGAGCATGTGTGGTATCATCAGCCTCAGTTTGGTTTGGGGTGGGGACCCTCCTGCCTCTGCAGGGGGCCACACCATAATGCAGGTAAAGATCTGGCCCACCTTCAACCACGTGGCTTTAAAATTGAACATGTGGTGCAAGGCGCAGTTGGTAAAATTCAGCAGGTACCAGCTCTCCTGTCACACACTTCACAGAGGCCGAGGTTTATAAGTAACAAGGAAAGAGATGCCTACTCTGTTCATCACACTGAAATTACTCTCTTGCAAATAAGACACGGTTTGGGTCATGGATTCGATTAATGCAACTTTACCAAATACACCGGAAGAAAATAATGGTACCTTAAAAGTTCTCACCTCCTAAATAAGCGGCCTCGGGATATATACCACTCAGATCCCTCTGATGAAAGTGCATTTCTCCTGCCCTGTTAGCACCATTACTCATACTCAAGCCATGCCCTCCCCCGTTCAACAAGTAAGACACGTGTTTGGAAGTGCCTACTCCCTTTTTTCTTTGTCTTTCCTCGCCTAGAATGCTCTTCCCTCGGCAGCCGTCTAAACCCCGTCCTCGTCGTCCGCTTTCTCTGGGAACAGCGTCCGCTCTCTGCTCTGACCTTCTGCAGCCCCTGGAGTCACAGAATCCCACCCCACGTTTCCTCACACTGCCCACTAGGCAGCCCGGATGGTTCTGGAACAGCTCAGCGATGTTCCCGTGGAGTCAAGACCTCCCCGACTTCCCTCTCGAGTTACACCAAGTAAGTGCCTCCTCTGTGCCACGTGAAGACAGTTCCTCCAGCACTTCGAGACCAAAAGCCCTCATGCACTGACCCATTGCTCACAGTCCTGCTGTGTCCATTCACCCCTCAGCGGATCCCCATCAGCTTGCACCAGCGTTTACTGGAGACCGCCACGTCCTAGTGCTCCCCATTTGGAACTGGCAGGTCACTGGGTCCTCTTGTCCGCTCAAAGAGCGCTACTGAACCCTTTTTCTCCTGCTCAGGACTTACATAGCTGATTTTTACTTAAATGGCCATGTATCTCTAGTAAATTTCATTTTATTGTCTTTTCTGTTCTTTCAGTCTGCCAAGATCTTTCAGAATCTTGGTTCTGACATGTCACACCTTAGCTGTTCCTCGTA